CTGTGAAGACTGAAAGCGGCCATGAGTACCTTGTTCTTACCCATGACCCGTCCTCGTCGATTTTGTCAGTACGATTGCCGCCCATTGACGAGAGAAGTCTATCTATATCTGGAAGGATAGCTATCAAGGGCCTTCGCGAGAAACAATGTTTTCCACACGAAAAAAGTTTGAAATGATGAAATCTCTGCGTATCAACATTCACTACAGGCTCCGTCTACGGGATAACTCCAATTCCCAACTTCTGATGGCAGAAAAGTTGAAAGAGAGCAACCGATACTCATATGTTCAAGAACTCTTACTCCAAATGTAGATTCCTCCGTGCATCTGAAACTGAAATACAGAAGTGACCAGTTATTTTGAACGCTAGACATGGTAAAACTTCCCCTCATTTTAAACTTGAGACATCTACTTAAATGTTTCTCATTTTATCGCCATAGATCTACTAAAAATTTCAAAATCCAGTCGTCTGGTGTTTGATTAAATCCGTCTGCAAAATATATGCAGTCAGTTGTATGTCAATCATTTTCACTAAATGCTGATGGAAGAACAATTAAAAACGGATGTGAACATTCATTCAATCAACCAATGCTACAAAGGATAATGATTTTCGTCGGGTGGTGGGGACAGTAAAGTCCAAAAATTTAGCAAAAAGGCAAGTATATTCAATAGCACTACGTGTGCGTGCAGATCCATGACATTTGGCTCCACAGAATGTTCTTGGCTCGTTCTAAGCTATATATATATAAAGCACAAAAACAAAAAACACTTGTTTTGCACAGTCCAATAAATTCCAACGTGCGTCTAATACTCTAGAGACCTCTTTCACGCAAAAGTGTTCACGAGTGTTCTAAATTGTTCTTCTCGATATCATCTGGCGACAAACTCAGCATATAACGACCAGGTTATACCTGGGAGAAAGTGGCGTCACTCAGGAAGTTGCCAAAAACAGGAAGTTGCTACAAATAGGAAGTAACGAATAGATAGGTAACTTTCGTCCAAATATACTTTAAAATGTCCCTCAGACATTTGCATGTCATTACCGTGTCTTTATATGGTAGTAATTGCTTCACGGGTAACCAGTTCAACTGGCGAAGCAGAGGAGTTACGAGGTCGAATTTCTTAGAGTTCGTAACTATCTTGCTGGCAAAGTTTTGGATTGACTGGCACTTACTAATATTTCCAGCTGATGTTGCAGAATCATCACGATTTGTCTTCAATCAATGATTGTAGATATTTCCAAGCCTAAATTCAGGTAAATTTTTTGTGTCGTCTATGGTTTTCTAATCTTACTCTTGTGATAAAAATTGTGATAAAATAAGAATAGGAGACTATACATATATATCTAACCTTCCTTCTTCTCGAATCAGCTACAAAACTTCATTGCCATAGGCGGAAATTGATTAGATAATTTAAACAAATACATTTTATTCGGTTTTTGCCGTGATATTCGTCACCATTGGTTTTACAATTTCAAGATAGTTAGAAAAAGGAGAGTAGAAAAAGGAAATTTAAATGTGTATTATAGCGTATATGTTGTCGAACTATCCTAAAAAGAAATGATGACTCTGATTGAAGAAACTACTGTTCGTTTTAAAGTTTTGAAATTGGCCAAATTGACAACTTTGTAAGTTATTCTCAGGCAGACGACGCTTTTGTGACGTTCTAATCACGTGCGGTATAAGGCGAGGTTGCGTAGAGGTTTTAATAAGTAGATCTTGTAGGTAATTCAAGTATTGGGACTTGCGGATCTAACTGAAGGCAGGTGGTCCTGTGTGTAGCAAACCTGGTGCTTAACTTCTGGCACTTAACTTTTGGGCATAAACTAAGCTCGTTTCAGTTATATTACACTTATACTTTCTTCAGCAGAGTACGACGCAAACTGAACAAGATAGTTTTTTTAGGTAAGGAATGCCTTTGCCTTTTAAATAGAGTTACTTGTTGCAAAATTACTAGCCGGGTGGCCGCAGTTACCCGTTTTCACTCTAATTTTTAGCAAATTAAAATCAGATAGTCGATCGTCGCTCCTCAGAGCGTAGCGTGAGGAAAGTGTGGCTTAGCTCTTTATAGTGTAAAACGTGCCAGACAAAAGTTACATAACAGTTAGAGGCATTTTGTTGGCGTGATAAATATTGCGTAAATGTTGAGCCGTGGAGTGAAACTGATTGCCGAGTCATAGAAAACTTAACAGTCTCTGAAAATAATTCATCTACAATCCTCGACCAAAATATGGAAAAGAAGAAAAAAAAAAGAAAAAACTTAGGGCTGATTCTTGTTTCTTTGCGCTTGTTGAATATTCTAATTATAACTACACAGAGCATTATCCGTTAATTACGGCAATTCACGAGCTCCAGCTCTCTAATACTCTAACACCCCTTCTCATTGACAAATTCTTTTTTTTTTTTAATGATTTGGACCGGGATATATATATATATACTAATTATGCTCTTCAGACAAGAGAGAGAGAGAGAGAAATTAACTGTGTGTTTCACAAAAACGAGTTACCTTTGTCGCCAAGAAAAATAGAAATTTGGATATTTTTAAAAATTAATGCTACTTTGAATTGTGTTCCAGAACGTTTTGTATTTGTTTATCACCGACATTGTCTTGATATGGTAAGCTTCTATCATGGGGTAATTAATTATTAATTTCTTTTTGTTGCCTACTAAGGCATGTAAAAATACTGAAACATTTGTAATAATATTCTGATGCAAGTTATAAGGTGTTTCTCGAATTTTGCAACACAATATTACTCCACGAAATGGATATTTGAGGATTCTTTATTGCGACAAGTTTTAGTGTTTTAAAGAAGAAAGGGACACCTTCAAACAGTTACTACGAGATGGATGAGGTACAAGGAACATTTAAACAGTTTTATCATGCGATCAAACCTCCTTGGAAGCAATTCTAAAACTTACCGGTGTCGTGCTAGCTTGATCAAGGCAGGCTGAATGGATGGAAGAGTTCTGGGAAAAATTAAAATTGATTCCCGTGTAGAACTTAATAAACCTTGCCTATCGCTATGATTTGGACCGGGATATAAAAATTGTTTAGTTATGTTCTTTAGATAAGAAAGAGAGAGAGGGAAGTTAACTGTACGTTTCACAAACACGAGTTACCTTTGTCGCCAAGAAAAATAGAAATTTGGTGATTTTAAAAATTAATGCTACTTTGAATTCTGTTTTGGAGCGTTTTGTGTTTTCTTTATCACTGCCATTGTCTTAATATGGTAAGCTTCTATTATGGGGGAATTAATTATTAGTTTCTTTTTGTTGCTCATTAAAGCATGGAAATATACTGAAAACTTTGAAAAGGATTCTGACGCAAATTATAGGGTGTTTCGAAACACAAAATGGATATTTGAGGATTCTTTATTGCGACAAGTTTTAGTGTTTTAAAGAAGAAAGGGACACGTTCAAAGGGTTATTGCGAGAATGATGAGTTACAGGGAACATTTACAAAGTTTTACTATGGAATTAAACTTTCTTGACTCGGAAAGAAATTTGAAAACTGAACGGTGTCGTGCTAGCTTGATCAAGGCAGCCTGAATGGATGGAAAAGTTCTGGGAAAAATTATCGTTGATTCCTGTGTAGAATGTAACATACTTTGCCTACAGCTATGCTTTGCATTTGTACTGCATTGTATATCTGAGAATCACTTAATGGGTGGCTGTGAAGGAGGTAATTACGTCATGGTATCAACTGAGAAGAATTAACTTTGAATAGTACAGTGATGATGAATAAAAATATCTCAAATAGGTTAAACTAACCAGGGAGAAACAAATTGCGGAGTGGTGAAAGTATACAAAAATGCAAATGACTAATTCGAAAACGCCAAAGCAAGTTTTTCAAGATGGAAATCCATTACTCAGTTGACCTTTAATTTCATTATGGTTAGGAAGACTTCCTGTCGCCAATACGATTTTAATATATGCAATACTTTAGCAGTTTCTTTTGGTTTCTTTTTTCGAAGTTTTTGCTTGACTAGTTCTCAATAAGCATGACCTTGTCACTGTTCAGTGAATTTAAGGGTCTGATGATAACCAGTTTTTCCCTCAGCTGTTCCTATTATTTATGACGATTGTTTGTATCATAACTTCAGCTTCGTGGGGTGCCAAGGATAAATTATGTATCAGAACTTGTAAACAACCTAGCTCGGAAAGTAATTGATTTTGAACTGACACCGTTCACCGATCGAGATAATGAGTAACGCGTCGTTAATCTCCGGCGGGTGAGGAATCAGGCACACACTCCGACCTGTATGGTAATAAGAATAAAACCTGTGCCTTCCCCTTTGTATTGTCAAGTTTATACACGGTAGCTTGATGAATGTTTGATCAGGTATGAAACAACTTCGAAATTTGGGTCATTTTGTATTTTACAACAGGCTCCGTTTTATCCAGAAATCTTCTCCTCTGTAATATGCAATTACTTTATTTTTTTTTCTTTCTGAGATGGCTCCTCCTTTCCGAAGTTCATTCAAAATTAAGATAAACCATTCCACAATTCAAACATGGCGATACTCGTGTTATCCTTAAATCTTTGACGTTCCGTCTAGAAACCGTGAGCTGTTTATATAACATTGCTTGGTTGGATTAAGACTCTAAAACGCACCTTCTCTTTTCCCTTATCTCGGGTGTCTAACTGGCTTTCTCAACACTTTCTGGAGAGTTTTCTTTAAAACCATCTTGTGGGTGGAGGGCAGGTGAGGAACTGAACTGAAACTATGTTTCCACGCGGAAATGGTGTAACTAATGAGGTGTCAAGATAAAGTGTCTCTGATAAAGCATGAAAATTAGTTTCCTTGTTTGGGAGCTAGTTGCAAACCTATTTTACAACAGTTGGATCTATCGAGGCCGCCTACTGTTATTTTTTAATTACGTTCCCTTCTAGCTAAATAGCGTCACGAGAACAACGGTCACATCTTTTTTTTAACACGGTGCGAAAGCCGACCGAAGTCGGTTAATTTGCGTGATGCAAATTTTAAAAGTAATCACTAGTGAATGACGGCGTTCAAATTAAAACGAGTATTTCTATTCCAGAGTGTGCATCAACTCGCTGGAATGATGCTTCCAGTTGTACAGAGAACACATGTGCTTCTTGCCAGCTTCTTTCTGATGATTGCCACTAATTTTCCCTTACAAGCAGGAGGCTCTTCAAAAGACATCATCGGTAAGTTTTATCCCTTGATTGTAAAAAAATCTAGGCGGAAGCTGGTAAAAATTATCTGTTCTGTTCAATTAGCCATCAAAAAAATGTGAAAGCTTCTATGTAGTGTAGGGGCAGAATTATGAACGTCTTGAGGAACTGCTCTTCTTTTGTTTTCCGTTTATAACCTATTTTTCGGTGATACAGAGAATCGAAGTGTAAGGTAAATATGTGCGTACAAAGGCTTCTGGGATAGAATAAAAGATGGCGTTCTTTGCAGAACACGTGTAGTAGTTTGATTCACAAACAACACAACATGGTGGCAGCAGTGGGATCTTTTCAATCAGGTTTAAACTGAAGGAAAATTAGAAAAAACGGAAATATGGGAGACCTTGTACCAGGCGAAGCTGGAAATCAAGCTGTTCAACAGCCCGTAATTGATGAGCCGAACGAAGATGTCGTTTACCCAGCACGGCTTGCACAACAACAAGCCGTCATGCTTGCACAGCCTACGGTCCAACAGATCGCTGAGGCAAATTATCCAGTTCCACCGTCGGAAAAATTCAGTTTTAAACCCGACGAGTGTTTCGAACGATTTCGAAAGGCGAATGGCCTCGACCAAAAGGACGGTGAAAGCCAAGTAAACACTTTAATTTACTCGATGGGAGAAGAAGCTGATGACATTATTGGCACATATGGGGTAACCGCCGAGTAAGCAAAGTTGTATGACGTCGTGAAAAGCAAGTTTGAAGCTCATTTTGTTGTTAAGAGAAAAGTAATATTTGAAAGAGCCAAATTTAACTCGAGAAGTCAACAGGATAGTGAGTCCGTGATTAACTTCATAACAGGTTTATATTGTCTACCTGAATAATGTGAATTTGGAACATTTAGAGATGATCTAATCCGGGACAAAATCGTTGTAGGTTTAAAAGACAAAAAGCTCTCTGAACAGCTGCAACTTGATCCCAAACTGACTTTAGAGAAGGCAGTTATAAAGGCTAGGCAGTCTGAGACACTGAAGAAACAACAAACTTCCCTACAGGAAAACAAGTCTGAACAACCACCAGTTGACCGCTTTTCTAATGGAGCGGGAAAAGATGCTAAAACTAAACCAAAAGATCCAAAGAAGCCCCCTAAGCCTAGCAAAGGGACAGAGAAGAATCCTGAAACACAGTGTTCAAGGTGCCTGAGTCCACCACACCCAAAGAGACGATGTCCAGCCAGAGAATCTAAATGTATCAAGTTCTCCAAAGTAGGACATTGGGCAAAGGCTGGCAAATCTCGATCTGACAAGAGAGTAAATGAAGTCCCCTTACCATTGTATCAGAAGACAAAAGAAGAATCGGATAGAATGTTGGAATCAAGCGTCATATCCAACGTTGACGAGCCCACGGATTGATGTGCTCCCATGGTGGTTGCCCCAAAAAGCAATGGCAAAGTCAGGGTCTGCGTGGACCTTAGCAAGCTAAACGAGTACGTCAAAAGAGAGAACGACCCACTTCCAGCAGTAGACACAACTCTGGGAAGATTGGCAGGTTGTAAAGTCTTCTCAAAACTTGATGCAAACCCAGAATTTTGGCCGATAAAGCTTGCATGGGAATCAAGACAGCCGACCACATTCATCACTCCATGGGGCCGATTCTCCTTCAATGTTCTTACCTCTGGTACCAACTCTGGTTCTGAGAAATTCCAGAAGAACATGAATCAGATTCTTCAGGGATTAGAGGGCGTAGAGTGCAACACAAGTGACGTTTTAGTTCACGGAAGAAACCGAGAGGAACATGAAGAAAGACTTGAAACACTAATTAAGTGTCTGGTCGAGGCCGGCGTGACACTCAACCTTGACAAGTGCAAGTTTAGCACAGACAAAATTAAGTTCCTCGGACAGTCATTAGCTCCCGCGGAATTGAGGTGGATCCTGACAAGTTGCATGCAGTCGCAGCTCTCCCGCCACCTCAAAACGTGCAAGAAGTGATAACATTTCTGGCCATGGTCCTGAAAAGACGGGGAACTCCTTTGCAAGGGAATCAGTGGACATGAGGAACTGAGCATGAGAAAACGTTTGAGTAAATCAAAGCTGACCCCACACGAGTTCCATTACTGGAGCTTTATGATCCTGACAAGGACACCAAGATAGCAGCTGATGCCTTATCCTATGGTCTAGGCGGAGTAGTTCTTCAACTCTGATAACTCCTGTCAACCAGTCTCCTTCATGTCGAGAGCGATGACTCCCACCGAGACTGGATATAAGCGGATAGAAAAGGAGGGGAGTACATCAATCTCTGTGGACACTGACCATAAACTCCTCGTACCACCTCTGAGAACGCACACACTGGATCAACTCCTACCGAGGACCCAGCGATTCAGAATGCGACTGATGGGATTCCACTTTCAAGAGATCAAGCACGTTTCCGGAAAAAATAGATGTACATAGCCGATGCACTTTCAAGGTTTCAGGCCAGAAACAAAACAGCTCAGTCTGCAAAGCTACGTGAAAGAGAGAGCATGAGCAAGCATAAGTAGCAAACATTGTTAAATAGCAGGCACAAGGCAATACTTTTACCTCCGATTGGACCAGGTACGAAAGTCTTTGTGAAGGACCTTCAGCGTTCAGAAAAAGTAATCGAAGCAGCAGCAACAATCTGGTCATATGAAGTTGAGACACCAACCAGCACGATTAGAAGAAACCGCGTTCACCTAACCCCACTGCCAGATCAGCGGGAAAATCAACAACTAGAAACAAGTTCCAGCAGAGAGCCAAGCTGCAACACCTATTCGGAAGGACGTGTTTCTAAAAGAGACTTTCGAGTACCCCTGTAACACCTAATACTGCTACTAGGCCTAAGCGAGTTATAAGAACATCGCTCAAAGTCGGAGAACATCTAGGTTTAGCATTATAAGACGCTGTGTTAAGAGATCTGATTTAGGCTGTGTCCATGACTTATCAGGCTTTGTGATGTTGTGTTAGCTTACATGAAATATGTAGGTACAGAGGATTCTGGGATAGAATAAAAGATGGCGTTCTCTGCAGAACACGTGTAGTAGTTTGACCCACAAACAACACAACATAAGGGACTGTCAAACAATTATTATGTACGTCATAAAGGAGGAAATAAAAGATACGATAGTACTAGGAGTCTTTAGCTCTTTAAGAAATTATTTGTCATGGGGGATTTCACTGAATTTTGTTCTTTCCTTACAGACCAGTTAAATTTGTTCGCTACGATTTGTCACAGAAATATTGTAATGAAAATATTTAAAGGGTTGTGAATGTATTTTTTATGAGGAATTTCAACCTCAACGCTCTAATATTATTATGAACAAAAGTAATTTTCTGAGTTTGTTTTGTCTATCACTACACTCACCGACGTAATGTATGGAATTTATTTTGTTTAACGCCCTCGAGGCAATGTTAGTTTTAGGTATTAACGGGTTTTATATCGCATCGTGAGTCGATATGTAATTGCGTGAATTTGAAATCTGAATGACACATCTCGAATGTAAATTATTGAAAATTATCCTGGTGTTAACAATTCAATGAACGGTTGGAAGTCTACCATAATTTTTCCAGTGACGAGCTCTTCAACATTTCGAGAGATTTGAATTATTTTGAAAGATTCTCTTTTCGACTATAATTCCAAAGAGACTAGCTTTGGTAGTTTACCGTGAGGTGGGCCAACCACGCAGTCAATCAGTTTCGTATTGTATATTCCCGACTGCGGTGCCGTATATTTGCTTTACAAGTAAACATGAGATATCGTGACTCTTTTAGTTTTGTTATTTTTCTGTCTTGCCTAACTGATATCCCACGATGATAGATCTTCCATGGTACCTTACACTCCACAAATTTATTTACAACTGGTGTTACTGAAGCCACACCTTATTTTATAGCTTATTTTATAACTCAGTTTTTAGTCTATATTCGTATTTTTTTAAATTATGGTAATAGCCCACACAGGTTTTCCTCACCAATCAATAGGGTTATGTTATTTTGGTATTATCCTTCACCAGGGAGCTGCACGTTTGATGAGAGCACATTTTGCAGCTGGTCCAATGAAAGATACACCGATCATTTCGATTGGGTTCTTGGACAAGAAAGTTCTCCAGACAGTGACACTGGACCAATCACTGACTACGCAGGTACATTACGTGTTTAATATTTCTACGCAACGTACCCTTTGAAATGAGGTACCGACTAGAAAACTTTATATCCTGATGAATTAAGACCATACTTGTATGTTAATGATTCGCACAGTTAGCTAACAAAATTATGCCATTTTGATTTGAAAAGCTGAATTGTATACGCAGTTTGATTGGATCTTACTCATGATCTATTAACAGCTTTTAACTTTTTCTATCAAACGAAACAAATAGATTCCATGTTGCCGTGCGTCTCGCTACAAATAAATACATCGCAGACGACATCAAAATATGGCGGGAATAACAATGACACGCACAGCTACACCCGGGTCCCCCCTTTTCCAATTTTTGTTACACAGAATATTCACACGGTTGTAAGGTTTTCCACGTGTATTTTTCACTGATGAAACATAGCATTACAATCTTTTATTTTTCACATGGATCGACTCACATGCACATAATTTTTTTGCATACGTCATATGACGTCTACCAGGATATCTTGTCCGCCGGTTATAAATACTATTTCGGCTATTAACATAATTTCCTCCAGGAAACGACAGAATTTCACCACTTAACATTTAAACCGCATTTTGACGTGTTCTATTATTGGGCATATATCTGTTAAACTGATAGGGGATGTATTAAACGCTTCCTCAGAAAATGGCTCGTATATCTACATTCAAACGTTATCTCGAAAGTACAACGAGAAGGCCAGATTGAAAAGCCCGTGGATGTGGGGTCCACTGTTGATGACGTTTTTCTACTCAATGTACGGCAGTACCATTGAGACTCTCTCTGTATATGTTAAAGTCAATGGCAGTGAATCCAGGATATGGAGTCGTCATGGGAACCGCTCTTCACGCCATTGGATCGAAGGCTGCGTGGCTATTAATTACGAAGGGACTTATCAGGTAGTTCAACAAGCCAAGGCAGACCGATGCATGACAACACCTGTGTGTTTGTGTGCATAAGACGTTTTTTCCTTAAGGAAACATTAATATTAAAATTTTGTGAAAATGGACCGAGTGCTTTTTATTCTTCATCGGAGAAGACCAGAAGATTTTCCAGTCAAATGCGTGTACAATTAAGTTGCATAAGGATCCATAATTCGTGACTGGACCCTCACCATGCCTTCCTATTTTCTCATAGGTGGTAATAGAGGGCATTGCAGGTGTGACTTCTGCATCAAGTATTGCAGTTGATGAACTTAATTTCAGTGAGAACCTAACTTGCGTTTCAGATGGTGACATTACTCCATCTGAACTCTTTAAAGGTAATACTGCCCTTGTGTTACTAAAAAAAAGAAATTTGGCTTGAATTGTATTAATTAGGTTTCTTTTCGTTTGCATCGAGAATACTCGTGTCGCTTCCTGATGAGTCAAATAGATATCTCAAGGCAAAAACTTCAGGGAAGAAAACGTTTCTTCACCTACAACCTCAAAATAAAATGAAAACCTTTGCTTTACTGTATGAGGAAACGTAAGTTGTTCTTAATAACAACTGAAGTAAATACGATGTAAATTAATCGAAAAATTGTCTTCCGAAACCGCATTTCATCGCCATTTTTTGATGCAATTTCAGTGAACTGTACCTTTAAGGAGAGTTTTTGTGGATGGCGAAATCTATTTGCACCTTCGGATCAAATCGACTGGAGGAGAGGATCAGAAAACTCAAGTGGACAAATTGAAGCGAGCGGTAATCTCACTGGCAAGTAAAATATGCCACCACCATTGAATTTTTGTGTCCCCCACCTTACAAAACATGCCCAACTTTACGGGCATTGACGGCTTCACCACCCACGATCATTCAACTATTGCTAATATATTTACCTATGATGAAACGGTTATTCCTTAATGAAAAGGACAAAATCCATCAACTTAATTTAGAATTATCATTGTCACCAGACGTATTTTGATTCATTGTCGAAGAAAGTTAGCGTCTTTTACCGTTTATTATTCATCTATTCATTTGTAATTCTATGCTTATGCCTTTCTTTTCAGTATCAAGAGGAAGAAAATACATTTATATCGAATCACATCCTGACAAAGTATATCAAACCGCTCAGTTATCGAGTCCATTTCTTCGGGGACCAAAATGTTTCCGCTTTTCTTATCACTTGTCCGGACGTGATGTGGGAAGGCTGGATGTCTTACTTCAACTTCGAGGGCGACAAGGAGATTACTTGATGTGGAATAAGTCAGGAGATCAGGGAAGTCAGCGGATAATGGCTAGCGTCGATATCGGTTATACTGACGATTGTCAGGTATACACACATTCTAAAGGCAGAAAACAATGAGATGATATTTAATCTTCTTTATATAACTCTGGCGTTTTCTATGATCCCGAGAATTGAAATATGAATAGATTTATCTGTCACTGTAGTATAAAATAGTAAGGAGTAGTGCTCCTAGTCCTGTGTCCACCTTGCCCACTGATAACCTTTTCAAGCAATTAGATTAGACTGCACTGTCCCAACATAAGTAAATAAATAAGATATAATTTCAATGATAATTCTTATCACAGATTGTCCTGCAAGCAACAGTTGGCAAAAACTACACAAGTCATATAGCAGTCTATGACGTCAACTTAGTTGATGGACTATGTCATGACGAGAGGGAACTTAGCACCAACGTACAAGGTTCTTGTCATGCTTCTGTTCAAAGTATTACAGAACCATACATGATTCTCTCGCGTTTATTTCTTGATGGTCTGTTATAAAATGTACAGTTTTCGAACTTTTGTTATAAATTTCTTATTTGTCAACTTTAAAGATAACGGCTATCACATCTTTTATTTTTAGGGAATTGTAACTTCGATCGTAACTTGTGCTTTTGGAGGAAAGATTTAAATTTTATCTTCGCATGGGGAAGAAAAAAAGGCCGGACAAAAAGCTCTCAGACTGGACCTAGCAGGGACCATACTTCAGGTAAAACGAAGTAAATAATACTTTTGAAGACTGGTATTTCCGCATGCGGGGTAAATCACTTTAAGCAGAGATGGAAGGTATAAAACTTGATCTAAGCGGTCATAACAAAATTGATTTGCACCCTGCATGCTCAAAAACGAATGAATGAAGATTTAGCAACTGAATCAGAAAAATTAGATTGTACTCGTATTTGCTACTCTAAATGAAGAATTTGTGCTTGTAATACTCGTTTTTCTATCGAAAGGATCTGGTTATTACATTTATATTGAAACATTGGGACCGAGGAAGATGGGAGACACTGCAAGGCTTACGAGTCCGTGGCTAAGAGGACCACATTGCTTGATATTCTACTACCACATGTATGGCTCGTCCATGGGATGTGTTGTTGTGTACATAAGAAGACAGGCTGCAGACAGATTACAACCGCTTTGGCTGAGGTCCAAGAAGCAAGGAAAAAAATGGATTCAAGGGCAAGTTAGCATAAACGATACTTCAAGTTATCAGGTGGGACGTCACTTTTTGAATCATAACCTCTGCCCAAGGTGGCTACAGTCAGAATAGATTTATCGTTTCCACTATAAAGAGAGTTCTCCTATGACTTCTGCCATTTTAATTGCGCTGTTAATTACAGCAGTCTTACCAAGTATACGATTTTCGTTGGAATCTAATAATCAAGGTTCAGTGACAGGTTCAAAACTCAGGGAGATTAAACGCTGGCTGCAATATCATTCTCCAGAAAAAAAAAATAGGACTTCTAAGATTTACAACAAACGGGAGAACTTTGATGTATAAAATAAGTTGTCTCTCACCTCGTTTACGTGAGATCTCATGATAGCTTGGAAGTCTTCTTCTCTGTCATTTTTAGATAATAATTGATGGTATTAGAGGGGGAAGCGGTACTGGAGACGCAGCCCTGGACGACTTTACGTTTCAACACGGACATTGTCACCAATTAAGTACGGCAATATCAATATCTTCTTTCGATTATATGGAAATAATTTGGGCACATGATAACGGTGTTTACTTCATTTTCAATCTATGGAGCAGTACCTTAATGTGGTTTTTTCAGTTTTGTGTTTATTGACGTAACTGCTGGAATTTGCTAAGTTAGTTTGATCGTTTGAAACTTCGCTAAGAATCGCTGTGAGGCAGACTTTGACATAAAAAGCATGATCCATGATTCCATTTGAATTTACTATTTTAGGTAAAGCAACGTTCTACGTGTCTTCCACCATGGGGAAAGATTTCAGAATATCGACAAGACCCTCTGAAGACAATCGGTACTCGGACGAGTTCCGATTCAGTATCAAACATCCCCAAGGAAATCCGACAGAGAAGACTTTTTTCATCTACCCTTATGCAAAGGGACACAGCTTCGTTACCACAAAGCTAGATATTTTTAACTATAATAACTATCCCTTGGATGTTGCTGTCCTCAATCACAAGGATTTGTCACTGAATTGCAGTAAGATTTTTTTCATCAGCAGAGATAGGTTTGGGCCTATGATCACTCTTGAAGATCCTAGTCTAATGGATGGTTGCAAATGCGAGACGAATTTCTTTTTTTATGCCTGCAATGTGGTTCAATCAGGTGAGGAAGAGGAAAAGACTGTTTAAATGAAGCCTGAAGAATGTTTCTTTAGGCTACATACTTTGAGGAAGCAAAGCGAGTTTTTCACGCCCGATTTTTGTTTTTCGCGCCATAGAAAAACGAGAGAGAAAGAGAGATTGACAACTAGGTTGAGGTCCCTATTCAATTAATAGGAAGTCATCTACATGATTATTTTCGAATTTTCTCACTTATTTTAAAACCAGATTTTTGTATTAAAAAAAAGATCATTCGTTGAAAGATGGGAATTGTGCGTAAACCAGGCAAGGTACAAACCAGAGTGAGTGCCAGTTGAATGGAGAAAAAATCCATGAAATGTTTTCTTTGCAGAAAGCCGTTCTATTTCTGGATGTGAACCTGGTTGGTACAAACTAGGAAAAGCATGTTTCATGTTCTATTTCCAATCATCTAAGGCGTGGCGGATTGCCCGGAACCTGTGTCACAAACAGAAGAGCGAAATCGCTATAGTCAATAGTGCAGAGCAACTGGAGGCCCTTGCAGATCAGCGGAAAAATCTCAAGCGTGAAAACCGCGGTCTTACACTTGGACTTGATAGCAACCTACGTTGGGTTTGGATAGATGGTGAGAATGCAAAGAGTAATGAAAATCTATGGGGGCCAAGGGAACCAAGCGGAGACGGTAAATGTGGAGCTTTCTTAAATGCAATTGAATGGAATTCAAACTCGGCTGGGTACGGATGGCGCTGGAATGATATATCCTGCACGAGCCGTCAAGGATATATTTGTGAGGAACCATTAGGTATGTGATTTAGTGGATGGTGTATAAATCAAATTAGTTTACCCCTCTCTTTCAACCGTTTACTATGTTTGTTCTATGTAAACTTCACTTGACTGGAGGAAAAAAAAACACTAGGTGTTTATAGTTTTTTGAAATTCCTTCGAACTACTTTTTTTCAAAAAGACTTCTCGCAATAGACAATTATGTAGCATAGAGATTGTTTTCATCTGTTCATGATCATTTGAAAGTCGATGGAAAAATATTGTTCACATATCACAAATCTGTTTACTTTTTAAGACGTCCCCCTACCTGTGGCTCTCTTTTCTACCAGTCGCACCGATGGAGTTGTTAACCTGAGTCCAAATGGAACCACTAAAGCAGTGTCTGATAACATCACGCTTACAAGAGGTCCCTGGGGTAATCCAGTTGGCTCCTTTCTCTTCAGTGGTTCGAATAACAGCTACGTGGAAGTTGAAAATGAGGGAGAACTTGATACAACGTTTTCGATGAGTGTTTTTGCATGGGTCCACCCTGACGCTTCTGCCACTCGTGCTGGTCCGATATATGATAACGGTTGCTCGATGTGGGTTTTTCCTTCAACTTGGGGACTTGAAACTCGTTATATGGTTAGGGATCGTTCTAAGATTCACCTATTGCGTAAGGATGGTGTTATCAAAATAAATGAGTGGAATTTTATAGGGACCACATACGACTATCACACTGGCGTTGCGTCTGTGTGGGTGAATGACAGCATGGTTATGAGCAAGTCTCTTGGATCTAACGTGGAATTGGCGACTCAAGGAAATCTTACGATAGGAGCGTCCAACAATCGTGAGACACAATTTTATGGCAAAGTTTCCTGCTTGCAGTTCTACGCTCAAGCATTGTCCGTGGATCAAATTATGAAGATAAAGACAAGATGCAATCAAACCAGTAAGCATGTCTAATAAATGTCTGCTTGGACCTTGTTTTCTCAAAAAGGCAAAATTTATACCCAGTTACGTTGTTTCAAGAACCAGCCAATTTTTATTTTAATTGACCCTAGTGTGTTTTCTTGTATCAGTCTTCTCTTTACCGTGGAGTTGCGTTTTAGCCTCTACTGTTATTTTATTTCTTGTTTTGATCTCTCTCTCCCTTTCCCGATTTCTTTGATTCGTCTAACCTGCCCTTGTAGGCAATGCCTAAGATTCAGCTGTATAAATTACAGACTCGACGTAAGCCATTTATTCTTGAAACGTTTACAATTTTAATTTGGAGACACCTCTTAAGGTGATTCTGTAATGTATGGTCTTTTATACATAATAGGATAACACGTCACTCAACTCAACTCGTTAACCTGGTGCCCTTGGAATAGTTTTTTTCTAATTCAGGTCAGCCAGGAACTATATTAAGGTTATTGACCTTGAAGATTTATTTTTACTCAATACTTTTGCTTCTTTAGTATTACCTTGGACCTCATTAGATTACAAAAAAGTAGGATGCTATCGTGACACAAGCAATCGTGCAATTCCAAAATTAGAAGACACTGACCCTTTATTGCTCAGTGCCTACCAGGACCGTGAAAATCCGATCGAAAAGTGCGCCCTCGCAGCTCACAAAAGGGGTTTTCGCATGTTTGCACTTCAGCACTTCGAGGTGGGGAAGATCTCTTTTGACGTCTGTGCATTTTATGGGTCAATTTACAATTATGTAGTTTAGTAGTAAGGCCAAATAAGATTATTGAATTATTGATATTATCGTTGATGACAAAATTTCAAACATTAACAAGCCACTTTCATCGACTAAGTAGACCCAATATTGAAACTAAAAGCAGAGCAACGCGTGATTGTCATTCCTGATAATTGTGGCGTGTACTACAATCAAAAACTATAGAATGGCTCTGTTGACATGATTTTTTGTTTCTTTTCCATTAAGTTTCCCAATCATGGTGCCGTCCGGGCTTTTTTCCCCTTCATGGTGGTTGCTATTTTATACGTCCCTCAAAGGAACTTAATTGGCAACAGTCTTTGAGGGAGTGCAATCGAAGCGGTGGAACCTTGGCCAAGATAACTCGTGAAGGTTTGAGATCCACTTTCTCCAATTTGTTAGAAGAAATAAGACGCTTCAAGCCATATTATAATAGTTTCTTCATTGGCCTGTTGAGCAAGGACGAGTGGACATGGATTGACGGCAGCCCGTTACATAGCTCGTTGTGGAAGCCAGGATATCCAAAAACAATTAAAAAAACCCGTAGCTGTGGTTATCTGGCTGGTGGCTCATCGGGGATAAGAAGTGGTGCATGTACATTGAAGAGATACCCACTGTGTCAGAAAAAAGCTGGTGAGTTCCTTACGAAGGAAAAATTTTGGTTTTTCAAACCTCTCGTACAATCATAAAAATTGAGAAGGTTATTTGCTAAATATAATTGTGACATTTTTACTATATTATAGAAGAGTCGTTGTCAAACCGGAGTTTGATAAGATGTTCAAGTATTTTGCAGCCATTCCAACCTATCCTGGCCATAGATGGATCTTACTCTACTTGCTTTCGTTCTTTGAAGGTCAGTAACGACATTGGTTGCTTAATTCGCGTGCTAAATCTGTTGTTGAGTTTTTCTGGATCGAAACCAGCAGAATTTCCTACCATTTAGTGAAAATAGATGGACTAGAAATGTCATCTGTTCTGGCTTGAGCAAAATATTTCCCCCTATGTTTTATTCATTGCTTTTTACGTTCTTGTCGGTTTAGGAATCAAATCCCTGGTGGCAAGCAACTTTTAACAAACTGCTGTATGTCGTTTCTGTTTCTATAACTGACAAAATCGATTGCTGTCCACGTGTCTCTGGAATCATCGATGTTAGTGTGACAACCAGTCAAACTGGCTTGTCTCCAACATGCTCCAAGTCGATGGCATACGATGGAACAACACATGAGTTCATTTTTGATTGCTCACCACCCGCACTTGGAAATAATGTGAAAATAACGCTGACGGGTAATAATGTCACGTTAGTTCTCTGCCATGTTGTCGTGGAAACAATTGGTAAGTTATTTAAAGATTCCTTTAATTTTTTTTTGGCCCACACGTTTTTGTTAGTGAGGGAAAGAAGAAGCTAATCAAGCTTATTTTACATTCTTTGGTATCAGCCTTCGCACTTATAATCTTTGATAAAGAGGTGAGCCAACGTGATGTAAGGGTATTCCATTCAGTAATTTTACTTCGGCCTGTGTCATTTAAAAATGGGCGGGAGATATCTTTTTGGGGGGCTACTCTGCTTGTGAGAGTAAACATATTTGTTCAATGTTTGACTTAATATAGAGTCGACCCGAGAGGTACACGGAGTTTTGCGTGAAGGATGGTACAATAAATACGACTATAACTCCAAAAAGACGTCATCTATGCGTGAATATCCTCTAATTCAAGGTCCACCTGAAAGCCGGATTATTTTGCGAGATTTTGATGCGCCAATAAATTTGGCAGAAAACTATGTTCAACGATTGACAAGTTACCTACAGGTAAAATCTCATCATAGCGAACGTATTTTAGCACTCACCTGAGATCGATTGTTGGGCTTTTGTTGCGTTGTAAGGTGTACTTTTCCTTTCGAAAAGTAGGGAGTATCTCAATTGAAAGGTAGTATCAAAGAATCACCGTAATCATGCCTTTTTTAAATGTTAAGATTAAGTTTGTTGTCGGTGTCGCTGCTGTTTATGTTGTTGGTGCTATCACTTTTTTTTATTAAAAGAAAATATTTGATAGAATTTGACCGAGCAGGCCAATTGTGAAATGCTGTTTCAGGTTTCTCTGAGCGGAAACCACACATTTTATGCGGCGTGCGACGATATGTGTGAGTTATGGAAGTACGATGTCACAGAGACAGGCATCGGAAGAGTTAAAATAGAATCTGGGGAAAGTGCAACGAACCAACCAATTATTTATGTTAAAAAATGGACAGAATATCTTCGATGGGACAAGTAAGTGATGTGCAAGTAATAAATAACTATGATAAGTACTTTTTTCATTAATTAAAATGATTTTGGTGACATTTTTAGTCGTCATTAGAATTGATATACTCTAATTACTTTGTTATTGAAGGTACCCAGAGCAAACATCTCAGCCAATCGTCCTTAGCAAGTGTCGCTTTTATCGAATGGTGATCTTCGGTAGAGAAAAAGACGGCAATGATCACATATCTGTGGGCATGCTTAACCCAAATGGGGAATATGAACGGCCTATTACTGGAGAAAGACTGTTTTGGACTAAACCAGGTAGGGACATTCTGATTCGTTTATTTGGTTAAAGCAGAAAAAGGAAACGAAAAAGGAAACAAAGTTAGGGAGAAAAGCATGAACAGAAAGTGCTTCACACTCATAAAAAAGGAAGACAAACAAGCACACACAGAAACAAAATAGACTGTTTAATACAACGATTTATTTATGTCTCTCTCACGGACCTAGACATCTTTACTATGAAACTGAAGCTCATAACTTCTCCTGGGAGCTACTGGAATTTCTTTTGTTCGGTGCCACTATTAAACAAAGAAACAAAAGAAAAAAGACATGTATTAGGAGACAAACATCTTTATTTCCAATACTTTTTTTAATTGAGGTGTAAAATTTTCTTTCTCTTCAAAGGGACGCGTAATTTAGAAATGTCAATTAAGAATCACAAGACATCGATATCTGCCTTCGTTGGGTCAAATTTACTCATAACAGGTTGGTCTACTGGTATTATCCTACATCTACGAGGATTGTCTCACATATTGAAATATGGGGAACTGGGAAGATTTGAGTGATGATGTCTGAATCGATCCCTCCAAAGGAAGCTGGAGCTCTTTCTCTTTTCTTTACATAAATTATCATCATGTGATTGAGAAAAAGTTCGTGGCCGGTACTATGTGACGTTTCAGAAATATATTAATTATAGAATACCTCTCTTAACTGAGACGCAACACTGCGTCGAAAAAGCCTCGAACAACATATTTGGAGACATTTGATGATTGCTAACTCGAAACGCGTGATTAGGATTAACTTTACGAGAGAAGGACGGTAGACTGTCTGTTTAAACTTGCGAGTAGAACTTTAAGCCCGACGATCAACCACTTTGTACTCATATTTTGGGTTGTAATTGATGAATCTATTCTCATAAGTTGCGGTTTCGCCAAGAAAAGTTGTAGACAATAAAATGGGTCCATCATACAACATGTTTGGTCAAATTATAGGATATTACAAGTTTTGCTGTGAGGGAGTTTATTGTCCTGACTGCCCATTGGAACTGAACATCTCATGCCTTGGACAAAATCTAAAAGTGAATTCAGCAGTGAGCCTGTCCTGTGTTAACACATCATTTGAGGTAGTTTTTAACACGATCCGTCAACCTGGAAATTTTACTTTGAAGGTGAGTAGCTCTCATTTAAGTAGTTATCATCATTTAAGTGATGATTCCTACTACATTTACGGCAAAAAATTTACAAGACACCATGCCATGCTTATTTAAAAAAATTGGCAATAATATGAATCATAATGAAGCAAACTTTGAAATTGTAGGGGTTCGTTTTTCATCACTCTTTTGTTTTAGTTTTATTCATTTATATTTTCGTGTTTTGATCACTGAATTGGTCATCGGTATCAGTGGAAACACATTGATCTTAACTATCTAAGAGTCTGTACGCTGTGATTATTTTCAGGTCAGCTATTCATTCGTGGAACATCCAGAAGAAATTCTCGAGGAGCGAGTCTTGGGACAAGTAGATCTAAGAGGTAACTCCTTTTGCACTGACATAAAGGATTAAAAGAATTACTGTGTATGTGTGAATCCGTAAATGTTGCTCTTTAACCACTGCTAACGGAGATTTACATTTTGTGTTTCTTCAAAAGCGGTGGTGCTAGAAGAATGCTACTTTGAGTCTGGAAAGTGCGACTGGACTAGCCCACATGCAAATTCCAAGTGGAAGCTCTTTCCTGGAGAAGAAGAGAAGGGCAGTACTGCGAGCAACAGTTAAGTTTTTTGCAATTGACTTGCTTTTCTTGCTAACAAAAAAAACACCTTTGAATAAGTTATTACGCTACAAAACACTCGCTAAAGGAAATAATGTTTGAATGATGGGGCTGAAATCAAAGAGGTCTGAAGGGAATTGATAAAGACTATGATGCCAAATTCAGAATCTTTTTGGTTAAACGTCGCTACTGATAGAAAAAAGTACTAAAGAACATTTTATGCTATAAAATTTACTGTACACATTTTTATCTTAGATAATTTTGTCTACATTAATGGCCCTTACAAAGCAGAGTTACAGAGTCCAGTGTTACTATGGGAGCCATTTCATCAAGTCGTTGGCTTGTGCTTACGGTTTACTTACCTTATACCTGTTAAATCAAAGTCAACTATAAAAGTTCTACTTCGAGAGCCAAGGAAAGAGGAGCCGATTTTAGCATGGCAGCTTAGTGGATACCATGGTACAAAATGGTCAGTGGCTGAGGTGTCTTTGCCCGGCGCTACTGCAGTTCAGGTCAGTAAATTATGACGATGAAATTTATTCGATTGAATTCTTCATTTATTTCTAAAGTTCATATTTTATTTTTTTTTAATGAATCTTTGATATTTGCTATGACAGGTGATGATACGTACTTCATGAATCTTTTTGTCTAGATTATATTTGAGGGAGAGGGCTTTCTTCATAACCAAGTAAATGCAGCAATCAAGAACGTGATTGTAACTACCGAGAAATGTGGCTTGCTACCATACTTTGCAAAACCAGGTTATATTTGCCGCTTTTCTTTTTTCTACTGTTTTTTTTGAGTTGCTGGTTTTGAGCATGACAAGATTGTGTAAACCTTTAACAAAAAAAAAGCAATTATCAATGACATCACTGATTCTTTCAATTCACATAAAATAAAAGGCTATATTAAGTTTTCATGCATCTCATGGATGATAAAGAGAAAAGAAAGGAAAAAATCGTATGTTTTCTTAGCTTTTATTAATCGCATTGGATTTTCAGGTTTTAGTTGCGGGAATAAACAGTTTCAATGCAAGAATGGCGAATGTGTCAAGAAAAATTTGCGATGTGATGGCGACTTTGCTTGTACCGATGATTCAGATGAAGATAATTGTGAATGTCCCTCGAATAAGTTCGCTTGCCTGGATGGAAAATGTCTTCCAGCATCAGCTGTATGTAACGGTATAAATGACTGCTCTAATGGAGATGATGAAAATAACTGCCGTAAGTAAATGTGCCTTTGCCATCCACTTTTTGAGTCTTGATTTAATTAGAGTGAAACTCGCTATTTGCCCTTCCCATCAATGTATGCTGAGTTGCATTTCCAAAAAGTTTGGAATTACTGCTTTTTAGGGAATAAGTGCCCCTTTAAGCATCACTGTCTTGATGGATCATGCATTGCTTGGTCAGAGACCTGTATTCGAGAGCCTTTCTGCAAGGATGGAACTAACACTCCATCAGTTTGCGGTAAGTAAGGCATAGAAAACTTCTTAACCAACAAGGTTAATTTTTTTGAAATAACTCGTTCTTGCATCGAAAGCCTGAGATTTCAGGCCTCTGTTATGGTCTCGTCGTAATCCATTTATGGATGAAAGATCGCAAAATAAGCTACGTGAGTTGAAAATGGACATGATCATAAGGTGTTAGAAATAAAAGCTGCGTCTTCGTAAAATTATGGTTATTATCTTCTAGTCTACTAGCGTAATGAACGACAGCGATGTTTCTGAAATTTTCTAACTGCGAGAGGCGTCCAGTATGTAAATTTTTGTCTTGATCAAATTCTTATGAACTAGTGAAGACAAATAAGTATCTACTGGGGAGGGAAGCTTTCGTTTACGTGGATAATTGATCCCGTCGTTGGCGGAATTAATCTTTGGAGCGTGACAGTGAAGTAAGTAGCATGTTTGATGGAGTCGATAATTTGCATTGCAGGATCTGGGAAATGCCGCCTTAACGACTTAGCGTGTTCATCCAAAGATTCCAAAGGACCAATTAGATGTAAATCTTTCAGAAGTAAGTCCATGGCTCTATTAAAGCCTCTAAATAAACTCAAATTTAGCGCAGAGAGAAGAATAATGCAAGTTGTAAGACACATGCGTCAGCGGTGGCTTGTCACCGTTGCGTTAGGGGAACGAAGATAGAGGGAAGATTGATAAATTTCTGATGTTATTTATCATGAGTCATAATAATCCATTAGACATCTCCTAACTGCTGTCATTTCAAATAGGGTTTTGCAATTTCGAAAATGACTTGTGCCAGCTTAATCCGGATATGAACGCCACTTTCCAGTGGATAACAGGTGCAGGTGAAACACCAACGGAGAAGACTGGGCCAAGTTATGATCATAGCACTTTAAGCAAAGACGGTAAGAGGTGAAATGAAATGTTTCTCTTACGTAGGAAAACAAATAATATCAGTCGGGTTAACATACAGTGCATCTTACTTAAAATCCTTACCTAACTTAATTTGCATGGTGCAGTGCGCCAAGTTAGTACGACGGCTTATTCTCCTTGAGACGTTTTTGTTGGAAAAGTTCGGTCTTATATTTGTTTGGTGCCGTGGTACCGCTGAATAATAATATCAACGTAAAATCGTGAAATGGCGTCACGACAAGCTTTTTATTATCACGTGTACAAATTTGCTTTCTGGTCACTCAAACTTTCTTCGGTGCTCTCACAAAAAGGGAATTTGGCATAACTTACACAAAGAGAGTAATGAAGAACATTTGTTACTTCATAGGGTCGTATATCTATATCGAAGCTTCTCCGCAACGCCCTGGGGACGTGGCAAGGTTGTTAAGCGAATGGATGGAACCCAACCAATCAGCTTGTGTTCAGTTTTGGTATCATATGTACGGCTCAGATATCGGTAATCTGAGCTTTTATCTGAGGACTGATCAATCGGAGACATTGGTTTGGAGATTGTCAAGCGATCAAGGGGATCGCTGGAAGTTTGGTCAATTTCCTCTGATCAGTGAAAGGGCTCATAGGGTAAATAACGCTTAGCTATCAAACTGCCGTACCTTCGTTTGAAACGTGAATCTTTATCTTTATTTTTTTGGCTGGAACTGTTCTCATTTTCTGAAAATCTAATTGAAAAAGCAGTTGCCAAAGTATGCACATAAATGAATATTGATCAGAATATTTGAAGACGGGTAAAATTTATTCCCTGATCTTGGCTTGGTGGTGAGCTGTTCTTAGTAATTCTCTCTCTCGCTCTTTTTTTACTTACTTTGAGTTATATGGAGATTAAAAACGTTGATGAGAATGTTTTCACAAATCATATTTTTTTTATGCTGTTTGCAAAGTTTGTCATAGAAGGAACGACTGGTGATGGAAGTGAAGGTGACATTGCGATAGACGATATGTCTGTGCTGGATGGAGACTGTAAAAAGATTATTGCACAAGGTATGGATAAAAACACACAGGGGGAAAGCAAAGCAATGGTTTATTTACAGAAAAGACATTGCTTGGCATAATTTTCATCGCCGCTACAGTTTTTTTTACACCTAAAATATTTCGAGGCAGCCTCTTTAATGATCTATTAATAAAATTTACAAAAATTGCGGAGCGTGCAGCGTACTTAGCGTAGCCCCATACCTCAGCAAATTTGGTAACCTGTTCCGCTAGACAATTTTGGTCGTAACGCGATGTTCGTCGTCCGTCTGTCTGTATTCTCATTCACCCAAAAAGATAAACCATTCTTTGCATAAGCGAACAGCTGCACTTTAAACAAGGGCAAATGGCAATTTACGAATAGACGTGAAAGTCGATGAAGTTATGTGCTTGCGTGAGTCTATGACCAAGTCGCAGACCAAGGGTGCTAAATGTGGATGTAACTTTATGGAGTGCAAAAACTCAAGGTCTGCCTTGTAGCGTAGTGTAAGCACAAGTTAGACCTATTGCGTATCGGAAATCTTCGTAAGAGAGTAGTCTTAGATTAACAAACTTTGCTGTTTCAATGCAACATCGACCGAACCAATTTAGCTCTAGATATATTACCGTCCACTCACGAGGGTTTATTTAAAATTGAAGGCGTTTTCGTGCGACATAAATTTGTTAACAGCTGATTATGGCACAGACTTTGTTGTCAAGTATACGCACCGAACTCAACCCATTTTAGTTTTGAAAGACACCTGGCCCTAAAAAAAAAAACGGTGTCAGCCAAACGCATAGAGAAAAAACCACCGGAGGGTTTGATTGATGGTAGGAAGCTACTAAACTTAACCACTAAATTCCATTCGTTCTTATGAGATAGAATTTATGAATTCGATAAAAAAGGTTTCTATCATTTTCTTTCAATCTTTAGATAGTCCAGACTGCAGTTTTAGAGAGGATACGTGTGATTGGGAGACTCGGGAAGGATGGACTCTCTCTAAACACTCACCTGATCCAGATTTAAAAAACTACGGTAGGAGTTTGTCATCAAATTCGAGACTTTTCATTCAATTTTTGTAGGCTGAGAAGCTGTAGTGAGGTTTATATTGATTGAGGCCTTGAGCTACTGTATATCTCTTTTATTACAAGCTTTTGCCGATCCAAGTAAGGCATCGATGCCGTAGATCGGCAAAAGCTTGGAATAAAAAATAAATTTAGTGACTCAATGCCTCAATCGAATCATTCATTAAATCGACATGATACTGATGGACAACTTCAAACTGTCTACCCAAATATTTTTAGAGTAGAAATAACACAATATGACATATTTATTGATTAATTAGACACTGGGCAATCCACATTGGACATACTTACTGGCAAGATACCTGAGCGGCTGAAAGACAGACTTGCTCACAGACTGACTAAATGACAGACGAACTGAACCAGTGACGGACTGTTGACCGATTAACAGACATCAGCACTAAACATATTGAAAATGTCTCACATGTGAAATCGCTGTTAACCTCTTTCAGGCCATAATCAAATAGCTGCATTTTATTTCTTACGTCACTGTTAGGTCCAGGGGTATCATTTATTTTTCTCCGCGCCGGAGCATCTGAAGTGCCTTATACACTCTCTTCCCCAATTATAAACACTAACGAATGGAAGTGCTTACGCTTATGGTATTTCATTGGTGCCACAAACTTGTACAAAACGTCGTTACAGGTGTTTCTTCAGTCGTTAATATCGAACCTATCCACACTGCTCTTCTTTGTGGATGAAATGGCAAGTGCGACAAATTATACTCAGATACCGTTGCCAGGCAATTACAGCAAAGCAAAGGTACAAAAATGTAATTCTTGTTGGTATACTTGTGAGGAGAAATTTTTGCTGACTCCATGTATACAAGTTCACTTTTTTCTATTACAAGCATCTTTTATCAATTGTTGCAGACTGAATAATGTCTTGTAAAGTACACTCCCCTTGCATAAATGTTGTAAGAAATTCCGACACTTGTGAAGTATGAACGTTTTCTTTCAACACAATACAGCTTAAATTCTTTGGTATTTATGAAGAGTTTGGGGACCAAATTCTGGCCATTGAACAAGTTTCCTTTTCTAAAGAGCCTTGTGACCCAATTTCTTGGCGACAAAATGGTGAGTTTACATGTTTAAGACTTGAAAACTAGGTTTTGTAAATTTTGTTTAATTCTGGGCGCAGACTACCTAAGGGACGACTCGTTTATTACACAAAACTCTATACTAATAGCTTTAAATTAATTTAGTTTTAAAATTCGTTAAACTGTGTATCTTACTTTACAAAATCGCACCCCTCTGACGGAAACTTTTATTCGAAGGGAATGCCTGTTCGTCAAGTTAGCACTAAATCATACACTTATCTGTACATGTAATGTTTTTAAGTGTCGTAACATTTAAATCTATGAGTAATTAATGTCATAAAACCTCTAGATATTAACGAGCCCCTTGGAATGCAAAATGGTGAAATAGTAGACACGCAGATCAGTTCTTCATCATCAATAGACGAGGCTCATGCTGCCAGTCGAGGCCGTCTACACTTAAACGCAACTTCAGGAAAGGCAGGCGCTTGGTCCGCCGGCAGAAATGACAATAGCCAGTGGCTCCAAGTTGATCTGCGTAATAATAACGTCAGAGTCACGGGTGTTGCGACACAAGGGAGAAACGGACGCTACGCCCAGTGGGTAACGAATTATAAGTTACAGTACAGCAACGACGGGGTAAACTTCCAGTTCTACAAGAAACCTGAACATACCGCTCTTGAGGTGTGTACGAAATCTATTCAGCTGCCCACTTTTAATGTTCTTTATTCATTTTTTAAAAATGATATCAACCAACTCGTTTAATTGCTTTTTTGCCAAACAATAGCTCTATCAACTCTTAGAAGTGTTTTAAGCATGAACATGGTAAGTCTTAACATGCTTGATTCAACTATCAGCATCAATGACAATGAGACGATCAACTATCAGCATCAATGACAATGAGACGACATATTTAAGAAACTGAATGTGCGTAATCTTTGTGACTTAACACTCTTAGTTATCATATGCTGACTTTGTGTCAAGAATAAATTTCAATACAATTAGTGGTTTAAAGAGTCACTATTTTGCTAATATAGGATTTCACTGGAAACAAAGACCAGGATTCTGTTGTTTATCATGAACTAAAGTTACCTATTAGAGCACGATTCATTCGCCTTCAACCAGAGGCTTGGCATAGGCAGATATCAATGAGAGTTGAGTTGTATGGTCATCAGAAAGGTATGTTAATTAAAAGCGTGTGATTTTATCTTCAAATTAAAAAATGTGAAACTCTTATTGTGGAACCAGTATATCCTCAAAAGAAAACCAAAATAAACAAAACAAAAAGGCATAACATTCCGAAAAAGAATAAATTATAGAGGTTCACCATGAATTTGATTTTGATAAGCAAAACGATGTGTCACCTCCATTCTCAAATAGAATGCCAGAAAGCTCTGGGTATGGAAGACAATGGAATCTCCGATGGGCAAATTCGTGCCTCTTCCAGCTGGGATGGCAACTCTGTCGCTAGCCGTGGGAGATTATCAATTAAAGCATCTGGTCGCATGAGAGGAAGCTGGACGGCTTCTGCAAAGAATTCACATCAATGGCTTCAGATTGATCTTGGAACCAACGATAATATAGTTACAGGGGTAGCTACTCAAGGAAGGCAAGATACCGACCAATGGGTTACCAGTTACAAGCTTCAATATGGTAATGATGGATTTAATTTTCAATACTACAAGGATCAAGGTGAGGACAAGGTGAGCAAAAATTATATTGATTTAGGGAAACCTCCATGAACATCGAAAGTTGTAAAATAGGATCTGGATTAAAAAGGAAATTCTTAGCTGTCAAACTAAGTCATAAGTTTCAGGCATTACTTACAGTTTGACAACTTTGGTAAAGTTAGTGTAACTTTCATGCAAGCTGACTTTAAGACCTAAGGGATCAACGGGAAACACACAACAATTTGAATACACGATTAGCCTCCATTTGAATTCTTGCTTGTCGTGAGCACAAGAAAATATGGACTATGCTGGTCTAATGTCAAAAGCAGCGTTTGGCTGCGAAAACGTTTTCTGAATAAATGAGTCTTGTTAGCGTCGACCTGATGGTATCAGACTTTGCAAAGCGAAATTTTCAGTTTTTGATTTCAAAGAAATGATAATAATGATATTGATGATAATGGTGATAATAATAAATAGAAAAACACGCTGTATTAGCTCGATCACATAAACAAAGATTAATGAAGTGCGAACACACCATGAAAAATGAGGATAAGGTGGTTTTTACGTGGAGGACAATATTTATCCGTATCTCTTCGAGCTCACATGAGTTTAGGTTAGTTTTTCAAACTATTGTTCAATTTCACAGGAACTGCTATCTTTATACCTATATAGGATTTTTCAGGAAACAGAGACCGTGATACGGTTGTTTTTCATGAATTAAAACCGCCCATCAGTGCCCGCTTCGTTCGTTTTCTCCCAGAGGCTTGGCAAAACCACATATCAATGAGGGTAGAACTGTATGGCTGTCTTGATGGTAAGGACATTTCCATATATCTTAACTGTGTACTGAGTTATTTAGCCTTTTGCAGATCGTGATTTTGCCAGGGTTCTTACAAGACCTTACCCTTTATTCTTCGCTTTCATAATATTTTTAAGGCCTCTGTCATACATACTATTTTATGGGTCGTTTTTAAACTAATTTTTGTAAATTTTTTGGTATACCATCAGAATGTCAGGAAGCTCTTGGTATGAAAAATGGTGCAATTCCCGATAGACAAATAAGCGCCTCTTCAAATTATCATGCGGCTTGGCAGGGTAGACTGGATTATAAAGGGACATGGAAAACAGGGTCGTGGTCATCACGACGTAATGATATACATCAATGGCTCCAGATTGATCTGTATAGTCCATACATGAAAGTTACAGGAATTGCCACACAAGGTAGAAATGGTGTCAATCAATGGGTGACACGGTATACATTGTGGTACAGCAACGATGGTAGGAATTTCCAACCCCACAAGGAAGCTGGAGAACGGACGGAAAAGGTGAATATTACGTTGTACTCTTTGAATACATATCAATCAAGAAAGTTTAAGCATTAGAAAGTGACTGTTTTTTACTGCAAAAGCTTTTTAGTGTTTGGAGCGTGATATCGTATCGGGATTAAAAGCTGTATTTCATTATTCTGATGTTTTGACCCTATACGCAAGCTAGAACCATGGCCAATCAGGTTACAGTTAAATTGAAACCATCCAGTTAAGTAGTAAGGTGCAATCTTTTGGTTATAAGGATTTTGGTACCATGCAATTTTCAAAAAATTACCCGTGTCTGATTGCAAGGGGAATCTGGATCCTGGTACCAACCAGATCCTCCGCTGCAATTTTTCCCAAATGACCCAAATGGGATACACCAAAATTCACGGTTCACAACAGCTACAGACTAGGTTAACAAAGGAGATTTTAAATGGCAGCTTACCTAGATAGTTTTGGACACCTTCAAATTCGAAAATGTTGCAACCTTAGAAAGTCTATCAAAGCTGAAGAGGAGGGCTGTTACATAACTCTTCAAATATGTTTTAATTGAGGAGATTAATTTTAATGGTACCTGGAGCATTTTTAAAATTATGGTTTACTGCCTTTCCATTCAGAATTTTGATGGAAACAGAGACCGGGATACAATTGTTTATAATAGAATCAACCCACCAGTCAAAGCTCGCTATATCCAGATTAGACCACAGGCCTGGTACCGTCACATTTCTATGAGGACAGAGCTTTACGGTTGTCTGGAAGATGTCAGTGGGGGTAAGGAATGTATTAACATTTAAAGCTATCAGGTGTGTAGAGGATTTTTAAATTGTTGCGTACTGAAATTGCCTCTCGAGTTGTTTCTTGTCCTTAGTTGATGCGCTCCGATTATAATTTGCTTAAACCTCCTTATGTTGCAAACAAAGTTATTGGAAAATAAGGTTATTTGGTTTGATCAACTGAGTTGACATTGTAGAGAAGGTAAACAGCATAATATTCAATTTGGCTTTTCTATTTAAAGTGGAGAATCCTACATGTAGATTAGAAGGAAACAAGTAAGGAAGAGATCAAAACTCTTCGCGTATATCTTAACCTTCATTCAAGCCCCTTAGACCATGGATTTTCTTCCCGTAGTATCCATCAACATATCAGACTGTCAACAAGCTCTTGGCATGGAAAATGGTGCAATCGCTGATGCACAAATCACAGCCTTTTCTATCTGGAACGATCACCTTGCTGCGTCTCAAGCCAGACTGGAGTTTAAAGCAAATAGGAAGAAATCTGGAGCTTGGTCAGCTAGCAGAAACGATGTTCAACAATGGCTTCAGGTGGATCTAGGTAGTCAGCACGCCAAAGTTACGCGTGTAGGAACACAGGGGAGAGATGAAAATAGCCAATGGGTAATCAAATACAAGCTGCAGTCTGGTAATGATGAAGCTGAACTTCAGT